ACTTCCCTCTGATGACTGGCTGCCTGCCGAAGACAACAGGCATGCTTGTCCTCCTTTCTTTGATCTTTTTTGCCTGGTATCTAAATGAAGGCTTTCTTGTGCCTTCAAAGCTCAGGGACTTGTTTGGCTTTTAGTTGCAAAACAGCTCCATGCCTGCCACCACTGGGGTCCCCCTATCTCCTGGTCTATTCCACTGCCTGCCTGGGAGGGCTCAGAGGTGGGTGGAGATGAAGTAGAACTAACTTATGCAAACCAAGAAGAGGGAACAGAGAAAGGACCTGTGCTTCTTGAGCTGATGCATACACAGAGAGGCTGTTTGTTTACTTGATGGTGAGACCTGGGAGATGAGGTTCGGGGGTAGATGGGAAAGAGGGGACCATAGAAAAATTGCTGTTAAAAGAATAAGCACCACTGTGGCCAAGGCCATGGATGACAGATTCAGATGGTCTGGGCTATGAGCAATTATTAGTTGTGAAAAATTCATCAAGTTGCCAAGCTTCAGTTTTCTTGTGTATTAAAGAAGGGTGATGATTGTCCTTATCTATCACATTGTAATTATTAGATGCAAAAATCAAAAAATAAGTTTAGTTTAGTACACCATTGGACATAAAGCACAAATTCTATCAATGCTACCTTTTGGTCACTAACCATAGAAATGCACATTTTTATCTATCTCATTCAGTGTCCAGCTTGGCTTCTCCCATTCTTTCTCCAGGAAATGGTTCTGATTTGTAAAGATCAAATTTGAATGTCTATTTCTGTGATTGTTCTCCAACAGTCTTCTCCTCTGGGCAGCAGTGACGCCTGGCAAAAACACAGTGTCTGCTTACAGAGCTATTTTCTCTCTTTTCTATCTTTCTTAAGCTCATTGGAACTTGAAATTAAAACTAACAGTCTGCATTGCAATGTGCAAAATGCAACTAGATCAATGAGCTATTTTCATGATGACTGATGTTATAAAATAATTGTGTTATAAAAGAAATGTGTAGATATCTCCCATAAAAGATATCATCCATTCCACAGATGAATTGTTTTACTCCTAAAATTAATTGGTTTTGTGTCATTTTCATAAATTTCCCTAGTTGGAATTTTAATTTCCTAACATATTCCATATTCACTAAAATTAATTTCCCCAGTATATTCCAGTATTTTTTGAAGAAAGACGTTCTTAACCAAGTCCCTCATCTGTGCATGAATAATTCCAAATTTTTCCTGGATTTCTGTGGTTGCACAGGCCACACTTTAAAGAGAACTAATGTATTCTGCTATAAATTCATATATTATTTCAGAATACAAAACCAGTAATCCTGAAAAAAATCATGCAAGAAGCTACTAGGTAACTTGCCTAACCTTTGCTCAGCAAACTTAGGACAAAATAGAAATCCTGTATTTTTACTTTATCTCTCTTATAGGACTTACTCTTCCCAAAAAAATATGGAATGAGTAACAATGGGAACACAGAATATGATTTTCCCTGGGACATGTAATCTTGGGCAATAAATTGGACTTTATAGCCTCAACCTAAAGGACAATTATAGAATACCTTTAATATTAAAAAATTGCATGTTTTGTATTTCACAGTCTACATGTTGTCTCTTGTCAAGAAATTATGCATTGTAAAACAAATAGTTTACAAGGCAAATCAAGGCAGGTTTCTATTTTTCTATGTTAGTTTAGCAAATAACATAGCTATGCTATTATGTTAGGAATAAAATTATAAACTTAAAATAGCTACTTAGCATTCAGTTTGGCTTACAGAATTAGATTTGGTTAAAATTAAACTTTACTAAACCAACTTTAAATAGAAACATTTTTATTACACACTTGAAACTACATTTAAAAGTCAGGCATTGCTATCTTGGGGGAGGAGAAAATCCCATGTTAGTTTTCAAAAGCAAAGACTTGGACTCCAAAGAGTTTTCTAATATTTTTCCTATAATGGCTAAAAAGAAGTAAAAGCTGCCCTAAGTGTGTTAAATTTGTTTCATTTAAATAGTATCTGTTTTTGATAAAAACCATTCAAATATTATTGTCAGATACTAGGCAATGCAGATGACCAACATATTGGTCTTTAAGGGACCCATCAACTGGAATGACATCTACCGTCATGCCTTGTGCTGGGGCACAACATTTATTGACTATTTTCAATGAGTGAATGTGTTAAAAGGCACTGTCTACATTATTTACTTTGAAGAAATTCAGAAACTTGTAAGTACTAAGTTAAGGTTTGCTTTTCCTCCAGATTTTTACTACCTGCAAGTCAGGAGTCTGGATGAAGTTGGCCAGACAGGAGATATCCTAGATCAGACAGAATCTGAGCAATATTTCCTGGGGTCTCACTGGTAAAACCACAGGTAAGAAAGAAGGAACCTAGCTATGGAGATTACTAAATTTGGAAGAAAAAGGAACAAGAGTAAATGGAGATGAGACTATCAGGAAAAAAAAATAGACTGTGCAGTCAGAAGGGAATAGGGTAAGGGAAATTAATTAATTGGGTGGTAAAAGTGATTTAAAAACTGTGTGGACTGATGATGCAGAGTGCTATTGCACTGCATGAACGTGACTCTATCTTCCAAGAGATGGAAGAACTGCCTGTCACATAAACCAGCCCAGTCTCCCCTCCCCCAGCCAACCATGTAGTGCTTCTACAAAGGAGAATACATCTGGAAACCAGACACCACCCTCTCCCTGACTATGGACTAAGAAAAATAAAATAGTGTCATTCTCCAATTAAAATGGCTCTTTCCCTCAACCTCAGTCGATCTATGGAACCTACAGCTTGGGAAGCACTCAGTATAGGAGGGTCAGTCCATTCGCTTGAGTCTAGGATGTTCTACATCATCTTAGACCTACCAGCCCACTTCTCTCTTTATCCATTTTTTTTTTAAAGATTTATTTACTTATGCATACAGCACTGGGGTACAAGCCAGAGGTGCAGGGGCAGTGAGAGGCTTCACCAGAGACAGGATGGGGAGCAGAACAGAAAGACCAACAAATTACAGTGCTGAAGGGAGCAAGAGGCGCGTCAGGAGAGATCAGCCGCGCCATGTGGGTCACCGCCGGGGCTGTGCATCGAACTCGCACAGAGTTCGAGTTTGTGGTGTTTCATCCTAACCCGTTGCGCCACCAGGAAGGGCCTTCTCTTTTATCAATTCTATGCCATTTTCCTTTAAGCAAAACCTCTGATTTTTCCCTCACTTCCCGAGTATAAAATGCCCGGACTTGAAAATCATGTCATACCTCCTTCACAAAGAGACTTTTGGCATAAAAATGAAAGAATCAAAGAATCAACACATGTATGCATGAATAAATACTTTGCAAACTTAAGGCAAGCATTGAAAAAAGACAAAATTATTTCAGTATCTATGTCCTTGGCCATACATGTGAGGGTTCATCCTATAATACATCACTCAGGAGTGTCTGTAAGTAGATAAGGCAGGGGAAATAAATTAGAAAAACTTATCGACATTATCATGGCTTCATTGTTTGAGCAAGCTGTGAAGACTGAGATCTGAGAATGGAATTCATGCTTTGCCATGCTGAAAAGTCAATGTGAACTTGTTAAGCAGAGATAATAAGAGCATCTCACTTTATAAGGTTTACTATTTTAAAGCAGTAGCTGTAGTGTTTGCTATTATCTAGACATTGTGAGAGATAAAAGCATATATATTCCTGGTAGAAACAAAATCTCTGGAAAGCTTAGACAGACAAACTCAGTTGCAGACAATTGCAGTATCTGTCCAAGCATGCTCAGAGGAAAAGCAAAGTCCAAGCTATGTAATGTATGGACTCAGGGTGGCTTGTGGGTTCCAACCTTCTCTTCACTGGTTCTGTCCTTTCCTTTGACGTTTGCAGGTGACATGGCCTCGGCCACCTGTCACATGCTCATGCCCCTGCAGGATGTCACATACCCTCCAGTCACAACTTGATCGGATGTCCATGTAAAATCACCAGCATTTCCTCTATTCAGTGGCTGTAGGCAGAATGGGCCTGGAAGCCTCACTCCCTCTGACCTGGGTGAAGCTACTCTCCCAGCATGCCCCGCAGCGAAAGCAGCAACTGTCCTCCTTAATGCCACAATAACGATAGGAACCACGAAGTTGGGCTTAAAAATGATTTGCTCTGGAAGAGCTGTGTTTTGGCCTCTTCCCTCTAAGAACTAGGCCACTGTCTCCAGAGCTGTGCTAGACACTCACCTTTCCTCTTTAGGAGGAGGTGCAGGGGGTTTCTCGCAGAGGAGGTGCAGGGGGTTTCTCGCAGAGGACAGAATAGGCTTGCTTCATAAATCACGTTTTTCGATCAACCAAAACATCAGGAAATTTGCTCATTTCAGGTCTGAATCATTTCAGCGCTGAATTAGAGGACTGGCATGCTCCGCATGGATTTCAAAGAGCACTCGCCAGTGTGGGCGCATACATCACGAGCACAGGCTGGAGGTTAAGACAAACGCCAGGGCCTCAAGGCTCATCTCCTGTATGCCCCTCCCCCCATTCGGCCTTTTGTTTGTTTGCAAGTCTTGCAGTTGAAACCACTGAAAACCTCAGGTCTTTTTCTCTTGAAAAGTACTTTCCATTCAGGAAGGAAATCCGTGGGAGCAAAAGGCTTAGCTGCACCCCTGCAAAATAGCTTCGTGTCCCCATGATTCAAGGGACTGGCACTCGGGGCGTCCCTCGCAGTATTCTTTGAATGCCATGACCTATATGTCAAGGGACAGGACGCTTGGGGATGTTTCTTGTCTTTGAAAAGCAATACTGCAGGGACAAAGAGTCCTTTTACTGGGCAGTGATGACGACCACGAGGTGGGAGCCATAAGCCAGGCAGAGTCTGGGCAGCATGCATGCTGACATTTTTCATTCCTAATATCCCACAAGTATTTCAGCTTCAACAGAGCCTCTGTGCCGATGAAAAGGAACTTTTTTGTTTCTCCATTTTGTTATATTATGTTTGAAAATTCCTAACAGCCTCTCAATGGCCCATTTGAAGATAGACTGGCAAACTGTTTTCACCACCTTTCTATCCTCCCTGTTACCAGCAAAAAGAAACACTGACATTGGTGTTCTTTTCTCCAGGTAAACGAAACGCTTGCTCCTCCTTTCTTCTCTAGACCTCCTCCTTGCTCCTGGGGCTGAAACACCCCCACTCCCACCCAAAACCCTCCCCACCCCACCCCCAGCTATTGTTCAGCTGCTTTGCCTCCCTGGGGATGAGAGAGGGAGCAGATTAGACTTAGAGTTTTGAAAATAGAGCAAGAAAAAGCACAGCCAACTTGTATAAACATGAATAAAGTATTCTGACAGAAGAGAGCAAACATTTTGTAGAGACAGCTCGAGATGTGTCCGGCAGAACTGCCAGGGTAGCCGGGATGGATGTGTGTCCCGTGAGGGGCGGCAAGAATCACACTGTTTGTTGAATGGAAGAGGAGTGCAGAATTATTGAGACTTGTTATTTGGTGGCCTGCTCTTTCTCTCTGGAAATAGTTTGCAAGACTTTTGTCCCTTGTGACTCTTGCCCCCAAACACTCAACCTATCTTCCATAATGGAAATCTCCATTCAAAGTTCTCCTTCCTTCCTTCTTCCCTCCCACTATTCCTTTCTTTCCTTCCTTCCTTGTCTCCCTCCTCCCTACCTCCTTCCTTCCTCCTCCCTCCTCTTTCTTCCTCTTCCCCTTTCCTTCACTTCCTTCCTTCTCTCTGCATGTTAGGTAGCAGACAGAGGGCTCATTTCAAAGGAACAAAACCCTCTAAAACAATGGCATAGACACCCTCCTCCCACACACACACACACACAGGCTATAGACAGACAGACAGATCGATTGATCGATCGATAGATTGATAGATAGATATGCTACACACACAGGGGCTGATTAGGAAGGGAGGAAGATTTGATGCCAGGGGACCATGAGGGAAATTTTCAGGATCAGATGTATGTTCTATATCACTGTGAGAGTATTTATGTGGCAATTTGTGTCACACTCAAAAACTATGTATGTACAATGGGCAATTATTTATTTTGTGTCAATTATAATGCAGTTATTTTATTTTACTGTGGAAAGAATACTTAATGTGACATCTGTCCTCCAGACAAATTTCTAAGTATGGATGATATAGCTTTGTTGATTACAGGTGCAATTACAGATTCTATAGTGGATTTCTAGAATTTATTCATTTTGTTTAACTGAAAATTTATAGCCATTTGTTGCCAATCAGTATATTCAAAGTCACAATCTCTCTGAGCTTCAGACAGGAAAAATAACTTATTAAAAATATTGGAAAATTATCAAATTCAGTGTGTCCACAGTCAATTTGAAATTTAGAATATAAAAAATTCCCTCTAACACCTTTTACAAGAAAGTTAAAGGGAAGGAAGTGAAAGAAAATACTAACATTTGGTGTTTATATGGCTTAAAACTCCATATATTAAAATATCACATGTTACACAGATCAAGAGAGTTTCTTGAAATATATTAGTATTTCAATAAATCAACTATATAAACTTTGGTGTGCTATTTTAACAGTTTTTGGATTAAATCATTAGTTAATAGAATCATTAAAATTGTGCGAGGAGCCCCACACTAAACAAACTGCTTTAATATTTTTAGCCCAGCCTTTTAAAAAAATCACCTTACTTTAATAAGCATTAAAACATCATCTCCTCCACCCACCCACCCCCACATCCGCAAACATTAGACAATAAAATATTTTGTTGATATTCTGCAGAAGATATTTTGGGAAATGGTGCTTTCCACACTTCAGAGTTACTAAAATGACAGCGCACTTGAAACAAAAATGTGTGGGAATCTGCTGCATACACAGATGAGGAGCTAGCTAGGAAAGTTCACCATGAACAGTGGGTCTTCAGAAAGGATGTATGCCATTATTACACTTCTGGGTGGTTTATAAGCACTGCTTGGCTGATTCAAAGAAAAGAATGAGGCTTATGTCCCCAGATGGATTTTGGTCACAGATTCCAATTAGCCATGCAATCTGAATCACAGAAAGATGATTTTGTTAATTTCCTTCTAAGCCCCCTGAGTCGCTAGGATATTTTCTAGGAAATAATAGAGGTGGCTTTAACACCTTGTAAGTTTTGAAGAAAATTAGATTCTATTTTAATGCTAATTTCTATTAGCAGAAATATACTTTCTAATTCTTGTTCTACTATTTTTTTAAGATTTATTTACTTATGCATACAGAACTGGGTACAGGCTAGAGGTGCAGGGGCAGTGAGAGAAATCACCAGAGACAGAGTGGGGAGCAGAACAGGCAGATTGACGAAGTACACTGCTGAGGGGAGCAGTGGCGAGACAGGAGAGGTCTGCTGCACCATGTGGGTCACCTCTGGGGCCAGGGATCAAACTTGCCCTGCAGTGGCTGCAGCTTGCAGTGCTGTGTTTTCACTCACTGCACCACCAGGGAGGGCCCTGTTCTATTATTCTTACCTAAATGTGATTTTCCATTAACATTCATTTAAATATTATGTAAAGGTATTTTACAATACTTTCTATTAATTTTAAAATGTATTTTACAAGCACAGTTTAAAGGTCTATCATGTTTAACAACTTACCTTTCTTGTCAAGAAACTCACTGTTGGTCAATTAATTCATTTGTATTAGCACTTGAGATAAAGGAATTTGACAGTTTGATGTGTCCTAGGCACTGAGCTGTGTTGGAAATAAGCAAAATCAGACATTTTTCTGCCATTCAGTCTATAACTCAATTTTAAGATCTTACTAAAATAGTAAATATAAATAACAACATTAGTAAGAAAAAGTACCCCCCGAAAAGAAAAGATACAAAGGGTTATGTAATATGGGCAATTTTCTTTATTCACAGAGATATGCAACACTTCTCAGACAAGGTAGGAGGTATTAACTGTGTTAAGACTCCACAGATGAAGATTATTAGAGACGTGTTGGAGGCCTTTTCAGCTTGTGAGGACAGTCTGTGCAAAGACCCTAAGTTAGAAGGAGTGCAGGTATTTGAGAGCTGTTAAGACCTAGGGTTTCTCCTAGACATAGGCAAGTCTTGGTATGGATGAGAATAAAACAGAGAATAAAACAGGTTGAGGTCAAACAATGCAGGATGTGTTGGCCAAGTTAAGAAATGTGCATTTCGTCCCCCCAAACAATGGGACAGTACTGAACTGTTTTTTTTTTTTTTTTAAGATTTATTTATTTGTGCATACAGAACTGGGGTACAGGCCAGAGGCTCAGGGGCAGCGAGAGGCTTCACCAGAGACAGAGTGGGGAGCAGAACAGGCAGATCTGCGAAGTACACTGCTGAGGGGAGCAGCGGGCGGGTCAGGAGAGGTCTGCCACGCCATGTGGTCACCTCCGGGGCAGGAGGGAATCGAACTCATGCGGAAGCGGCTTTAGCTTCTCATTGCAGTGCTTTAACCCACTGCGCCACCAGGGAGGGCCAGCACTGAACTATTTTAAGTGTGATTAGCTTGGCATTTCGTACAAATCAGTGTAGCTGTAATGTCGACTACAGACTGAAAGCACGTGAGAACAGAGCAGGCAAGTGTTGACAGAAATGATGGGGGCATCTCAGGAGGACGGTAGTGGCAGGGGAGAGAAGAGGGGCTCAAGATCTACTTAAAATAAAAATGTCCACTTGATAATGGACGTGAATGTGTGTGTCGAGGGAATAGTAGACAGTAGTCTAAATGAATATCTTACTGTATTTTGAGGAAGCGAGGAAGCAGGGAAGCAGGAGCTTGTAAGAGATCTAAATTTCTTTGGAGTATCAGACTTCTTTAGTGCATTAAGAGGGTGGGGATACACTGGACATTTGACTGCAGAACAAAGGATGGGTTTCATCAAAAAGCGTGAGCATGAAAAACAAAAGCACGCACTTTTTTTTTTTTTTTTCCCCCGCTTAGCAACCTTTAGCCTTAGTGTGGTCTATTTTAAACTTAAGGTGCTATTGCTTATCTCTTGGAATTTTTTTTTTTAAGATTTATTTATTTGTGCATACAGAACTGGAGTACAGGCCAGAGGCTCAGGGGTGGCAAAAGGCTTCAGAGACAGAGTGGGAGCAGAACAGGCAGATGGATGAAGTACACTGCTAAGGGAAACAGTGGGCGGGTCAGGAGAGGTCTGCCACGCCATGTGGTCACCTCTGGGGCAGGTGGTAATCGAACTCATGCGGAAGTGGCTTTAACTTCTCAGTGCTGTGCTTTAAACCGCTGCACCACCAGGGAGGGCCATTATCTCTTGGAAATTTTATATGGATAAATGAGATCTAGTATGAATTGCCCCTTGCTCCATCATTTGAAAATACAATACCCCAGAAGACATATTGAAAGTGACGATTGCTTTGTACTCCAAACCACACCAGTGCAGGCCCAGAATCTTCAAAATAAATTCCCCATATGGTTCTTGTATGGATTAGAGTCCAAAATGCTCTAAGTACAAACTGAATAAATGTAAAAAGCCATTATTCTTTTTTACCATGTACTGAAATCAGTCACCTTTGCCTTAAGGAAATGCTCTTTGCATTGATGTCTTGGGTTATACATGAGTATTTTATGAAAAATTCAAAAAATAAGACTTTGTGGTGCTAATATGAGTTGTTTCTTAAACTAGGTCTCTTACTACAAACATGTTTGTTCAAAACACTGCTTTTAAAAGGGCATTTTAACACTCTGCATTAATGACACAGTATGGTCGTGTTCTTTCATTTGTCTTTGCTGAGATATTTTACTATGGGTAGGTGTGCAAGTTTTGAAAATGTGCAGCCTGTTTAAAAATAACCTTGGTGATAATAATACATAATAATTAATGAGAAGTTTCTGATTGCTCGAAATAAAGATCAGTAAGTTATAAGTCACTGGAAGTCATTAGAGTGGGGCTTCTTCTTTATTGCATGAATTCCTGTGACGACTCTGCAAAAGATTATGTTGTTATGCATCTGACTTTAAAAAAACTTCAGAAGGATCCACAGACACCACCAAAGGTGAAGAGACTCCGTTGGAAAGCAAGAAGACTCATAGAGGGTTATGCATGTGATAGAACATCATTGATACAAATCAACACTAATAGTCAAATATGATTGAACTATTTAAT